AGAGAGAGAGAGAGAGAGAGAGAGAGAGAGAGAGAGAGAGAGAGAGAGAGAGAGAAAGGGAGGGGAGGGAGACAGGGAGGAACGAGTGGATCTGGTGAGAAAGCTGCAGCACCGTTGCCCTGTGAGTCAATGGTGACATGTGATGTTCAAAGTGACGGGTAGGGAAGAGAAAGGGGAAGGGTAAAAATGCTGCCACTAGCTGTTGTGAGATAGAAATCATCAAATATTTTTTTTTTTTTTTTTGTGTGTGTGTGACAGAAAATTACCAGCAATTCTCAGAAAGGACAATATAGTAAGCGTTAGGGACAAAGAAAAGTGTCACAACACTGATGCTGGATGTAGTAGAAGAGTGGACAAAAATTCACAAAATGTGATAAGGTGGGAGATGCCTTCTTTCCCTCTTCAGATAGGAGGACTCTGAGGTGTCGAACTGTGCCAAACTGGGTCACATCAAACTGCGTATTGAAATGTGTCAAAATGTGTAAATGTGTCAATCATATGTCAGGACTCAGGAAGCTATCACAAAGTCGATTTTGGGGGGGCGTTAAAAAAAAAAAAAAAAAAAAAAAAAGGCGCATTCAGTATTAGCCATTGCGCAAAAAAAATAAAAAATAAAAATAAAAATAAAAATAAAAAATTATAAAAATAAAAAAAAGAAGGTAGGATGGTTTAAGTTGAACAATGGCTTCGCAGTAGAACGGGCATCGGCTCCCAAAAAGAAAAAGAAAAAGAAAAAAAAAAACAAGAGAGGAAGGTATCACACGGTCAATGTCAAACTTGTTCGCTTCCCTTGAGATGTGACACCAACCTGTCATCCCCATACTCCTTCCAAGCTGTTGCAAGACCCTCAGCCAGCGCACTTGACGCAACATTCTCGGGAACTCCACTGACATGGAGGCCAAGCCTTGCACCATTTTTCTCAACGATGTGCCTTCCAAGGTACCACACAGACCAATAGCAGGCAGGCCAACTTAGCATCAAAATAGCTGCACACGCTACATCTGCCTTATTGCCGAATAGGAAGCACCTGCAACGGTTCACTTTGGAAGATCATGAGTTCAAATCCGGACGGCTACAATGGTGATGGTGCCAGTTCTGGACCTCCTTTTGGGGAAAGCAAGTGCTGCACACGGTGGCTTGTTAAGAGAATACCAATACGAATCATATGAACCCATGTTCCTGAGCTTTCATGGTTCAGAAGCAGCTCGATGGACGATTCTCCTCAAGTCCTGAGCACTTTTCTGACTGTCAGATACTTTTGACGGCAAGTGAATAGGTCAGCTACGGTAGTCTTTGCTCAGTCACAAAGCCACCACTTCCCAACCAGGGACAGATTGACAGCAGGAATCGGTGCCACAAGCTCTGAAGCATTCCTTTATAATGCAATGGTGCACACACACACACACACACACACACACACAGGGATATCGCTAACTCTTGGCGACGTTGTGAGTCCTTATAGGCTTATCCATTAGTCAAATGCATCCTGGTTAGACTGTCACGGTTCAACCTACTGATGGGTCGGTGAATGTCCGACGAAACAGTCTGGCCCAGTCATGTTTTTTTTATGGAGTTTGTGCATAGCGAACATGACAACACGCGCACACGCCCACACACACACACACACACACACACACACACACACA